GTGTGATGTTCCTCCATGAACTCCACCAGTTTTATGGCCATAAATCCTCTCTTGTTTTATTTTATTTTTTTTTATTTACAAATAGTTTATTTTCAAATTAGTTTCCACATAACACTCAGTGCTCATCCCCACAAGTGCCCTCCTCCATGCCCATCCCTCCTCCCCCCCACATCCATCAGTCCTCAGTTTTTGTCAGCATTCAAGAGTCTCTCATGGTTTGCCTCTCTCCCTTTCCCCCACCATTTCCCCCCTTCTTCTCCCCCTTGTTCCTCCGTCAAGTTCCTCCTAATCCTCCTATACGTGCAAACATATGATATTTGTCCTTCTCTGCCTGACTTATTTCACTCAGCATAACATCCTCAAGGTCCATCCATGTTGCTACACATGGCCAGATTTCATTCTTTCTCATTGCCATGTAGTATTCCATGGTATAGATAAACCACATCTTCTTGATCCATCCGTCTGTTGATGGACACTTAAGCTCAATCCTCTCTCATTTTAAAAGAAAAATTTTATTTATTTCAATAGTAGCTCTTAAGCAGTCTTTTCAAATAGAATATTTTAGAGTCAGTCAAAATAAACTTGCATTTTCAGAGACTTATTCATAATAGCCTTTTCCCAGCCACGTGGCATGTAAGAAGAGTCAGTCCAAAGGGAGGAAAAATCCTATGTCAGGAGATGTGTTAAATATTGGAAATATATAGGTAAATTTGAAATGGATCCTACTTCATTGAGAAGGTGATGTTTAAAGTGAATATTTGGAAAAAAAATTCTTTTTTGGGAGGATTACTGGCCAATGCAAAACTCCTAAGATGATACTTCTGGCATGTTTGAGAAGACAGAAAAGGCTACTGTGCTGAATAAAAGGAATAAGAGAGAGGGTGGAAGGAGAGGAGGGCTGACATGTAACACAAGGCAAGATCCTGGTGGAAGTTGTTGGTAATTGTGAAACTTGGGCTTTTACTACGTGAAATGGAGTACAGCTTCCTTTTTTGATAGAGGCTAAAAATGGAAGATTCTTATTTTTGTCAGTTTTCCTTGCAGCTGGGTTGGCCATGTGGTATAGATACATGACTGAAGAGACATAAAATAATCTGTTGGCATCTGGAAATGATTTACTTCATTCTACAGAGAGATATGGGAGGAGTTCTTTCGCCTTGTTTCTTGCTTTCTTCTTTGGATATATTGGTGTTTAGATGTGATTCTTTGAGCTGTGACAACCTTTTTGTGACCATTGGTGACAAGCCTGAGAATGAAAGTCATCACACTGAGGACAGTGAAATGGAAGACTGAGTTCTTGTTTTTTTTAATTTTTTTTTAATGTTTTTATTTATTTCTAGGAGAGAGAGAGAGACAGCGTGAGCAGGGGAGGGTCAGAGAGAGAGGGAGTCACAGACTCTGAAACAGGCTCCAGGGTCTGAGCTGGTAATCAGCACAGAGCCAGACTCGGGGCTCGAACCCACGAACCGCGAGATCATGACCTAAGCGAAAGTCAGACACTTAACCGACTAAGCCACCCAGTCGCCCCAGGAAGACTGAGTTCTTGATGAGAGTGATTTGTGGCTGAAGCAAACCTAGGATAATCTAGCCATAAGCTTATTGCTAGGTGAGAGAAATAAGCTCCTGTTTTAAATGAGTTAATTGAGCATTCTGTACTGTTAAGCTAGAAACTTTCTGACTAGAAACATAGGTTGAAGGTTACATTCCCAAGATATTAAATAAAAAATGTTTCTTAAATAAATGAACATCTTTGTGAGATCCTTACTCCTTTTGGGAAAGCACTGAAGAGAGAAACTAATTTATCTGATGAGAAGGTGAGTTTATGCAGATTTAAAATTAAATTTTAACTATTATGTTTGGTTCTCCTGAAGTGTGATCTTTGTTCACTATACCTTAATGGCCTTTGAAATATAAGCATTCTCCAATACTTTCTCTTATATTTGTGAAAAGGCTAAAAGTTTGTACAGCACCTAATGTGTGCAAAATGATTAAATAAAAATAGTTCTTTCAAGTCTTCCTACAAAATATAACTCTGGCTCAATTGCTTCTATAATTTTATCCAAGACCTAAACATACTTTTGAAACTTGTCCTTTTATCACGACATTTCAGTTGTCCAGTGGGTAATACAAAACCACTGAAAGTTCTTAAACTAAGGAGGGACAGAGCTTTGCTTTCAACGTTTATTGTAGCAGCAGTGTGCATGACTATATAAGAGGAATTATATGCGAAAATGCTTGAATAATAAGACGAGTAGTACAGTTCAGTTAAAATCTAAGAGGTTGTGTGGTGGCTGAGGGACAAGGGTAGAGGTCATTGTGGATGTAGACACTATTGCTTAGCATGTGAGAAATGTGGAATGTTTTCCAAAGGTTCAAAGCCAAAGAACATGATTTTCAGAAATATTTATTGAATTTCTTCTATGTATTCTGTACTGATCTTAACCCTAGGAGCAAAGTAGTAAGCAAGACAGAGGAGATGTTTGTCCTTACAGAACTTACAGTTTATATGGGAACATGGGAATTAAATTTAAAAAAAGTTTGATGAGCATTATGATGTATTTATGAGAACATAAATAATGACAACTAACATTTTTGACTATTATTATATTCCAGGCACTGTTATAACCATATTGAGAGAGAGAGAGAGAAACACACACACACACACACACACACACACACACACACACACAAACCAAGAAACAGACTCTTAACTCTAGAGAACAAATTGATGGTTACAAGAGGTGAGGTGGGTGGGAAGGTTTTTTTTAATTTGAGTAATGTCTACACCCAACATGGGGCTCAAACTCATGGCCCCAAAATCAAGAGTTGTTTGCTCCTCCATTCCTTCAACAGAGTCAACCAGGAGCCCCCTTTTTAGGGGAGGAGATGGGTTAAATAGGCGATAGGGATTAAGGCAAACTTGTTGTGAAGAACACCAAGTGTATCACGGAAGTGTCAAATCACTATATTGTGCACCTGAAACTAATATTGTAATGTATGTTAACTGGAATTTAAATAAAAACTTTTAAAACATAAAAGAAAAATTTCATTATCACAATAACCCAATGAAAGAGATGCTGTTTTTATCATCCTTATTTTACAAAAATAAACAGAAATTAAATAACTTGCTCAAGGCATTATTGTTAGTAAGAGTGGAAGTAGGAAGATAGCATTCATACACATACCCTCTGACTCCATAGCCTCTACTTTTTTCTATGCTGAAAAGAAATTGATAACCCCGGTTACTGAAATATTACATAAAATGACAGTAAGCAGGATAGTCAGGTAGAAATTTCTAGAAGGTGATTAAAGTATAAACTTTAGAAGGAATATAAGGCACTGCAAATTATTTTAGAGATATTGCAGAAGAGAGGACAACTGAGTTATTGTAATATTTGAAAAATTTGAGGTCAAAAAACAAGGAAGCCTGGAGGAAGAACCCTTGAAGAAAAAGTAGGATATGGGGACAAAGGAGAAATGAAACAACACAGTAGATTTCCCTTTAGAGATGAAGGTATGGGGAAGATGGGACTTTTATTTGGATCTAGGGATATAAAATCCCTGGAGTAAAGTGCAAATGAGTAAAATATTGAGTCCCTAAGGAACTAAAGACATGTCATGGCCCAGGGTACACAATCTCCTTATTCTTTTACACATAAAAATCTATTCCCCGAGGAAAAGACAGAGCAAGGTTCTACCCTGTATATAACCAAGCACCTTATATCCTTAAACTCATTTTAACTGTATGTTCAGCCAAGCAGCAATTGTGATGATAATAACAAAGACTTTATTTTTCTCTGCTTCTTAAAGAGGACTCAAAATCATAATCAGAAATTAGGATCAGAAAGATTTTAAGAGTATATATGAATTCAAGTCTGGGCTGAATCCTCTTAGAATCAGAGCCTCAGAGGGGCGCCTGTGTGGCTCAGTCGGTTGGGTGTCCGACTTCGGCTCAGGTCATGATCTCACTATTCTGGAGTTCAAGCCCCACGTCAGGCTCTGTGCTGACAGCTCAGAGCCTGGAGCCTGTTTCAGATTCTGTGTCTCCTCTCTGTCTCTGCTCCTCCCCTGCTTGTGTTCTGTCTCTCTCTCTCTCAACAATGAATAAACATTAAAATTTAAAAAAAAAAAAAAAGAATCAGAGCCGCAGAGCCTGAAATTGCCTTTCCATGACCACGGGGGTAAATATAAAGGATAAGGGAACACTGAAGTTTTCTGACCTAAGGTGAGTGAGTAGCTGAATTCCATTTATAATAAAACATTCACTGCTTTGAGATTAAAGTTCAAAGATCTGAGACATGTCACTATCTTTCCCACCTTGTACGGTATTGACATTCAGGTGAAGCTGGCAGGAGAATGTGTTGGAGGGATATAAGAGAATAATCAGAGATCAGGGGATGTAGGGGGTACAGTATCTCAGTCAGTAAGTTCCCTCTCCATGGATGGAACTCTCACTCTTCTGGATTTATGGCTTTTTCTCTGTGAGATGGGGTAGTAACTCAACTCCCCTAGATTCTCATCTCTTCTTTAGATTAGAAACAGTATTCTTAATTCTCACTCCATCAAGTACAATCTGCATTTGAGGCCAGTATGAGGTTCCTAAGGATTCTGTTCCTAATATTACTGGTGAGGAGAGGGTCAAGTGAATGAAGAAATGGTGAGATCAGAGAAGGGCAACTCTGTCCTGCTCTCAACTTCTCCCTTCACCCTTGGTTTTCCCAGCAGTCATATTTCTAGAGGTCATGTTCACTGGACTTGACTCTCTAAGGTAAGTGTGTGATGCACTTTACTGTATTTAGCTTATAAAGGCTTTAATAAAGGGACAGTCAGCATCCCTCAGTATCCTGATTGTGGTAAAGGTAGATTGTATGGGTCCGGGTTGGGCTAGTCTCAGCCTTTCCCATTATATACGCTCTCTGTAGTACAAGATCATGCATGAAGAGCTGAGTAGTTTCCTAATGTAACCCTATTTTTCTGTGCTCACAGATCCCCTTAGGGAAAGAATGGCTCCTGGAAATAGTTCTTTTGTGGCTGCATTCATACTGGTGGGACTAACAGACCTACCAGATCTCCAGCTCCCCCTGTTCTGCCTGTTTCTAGTCATGTATGTGGTCACCGTTTTGGGAAATTTAGGCTTGATAACTGTAATTGGGCTGAATTCACACCTGCACACTCCCATGTACTTTTTCCTCTTCAATTTGTCCTGCATAGACTTCTGTTATGCTTCTGTGTTTACACCCAAAATGCTGACTCACTTTGTATCAAAGAAGAATATGATCTCCTATATGGGATGCATGACTCAGCTTTACTTTTTCTGTTTCTTTGCTATTTCTGAATGCTATGTGCTGACATCAATGGCCTATGATCGCTATGTGGCCATCTGCAACCCACTTTTGTATAATGTTGTCATGTCCCCTAGAGTGTGTTCCAGCCTTATACTTGGTTCATATTTGATGGCATTTTCGGGTGCCATGGCCCACACGGGATGCATGCTGAGACTGACCTTCTGTGATGCAAACACCATCAACCATTATTTTTGTGACATCCTCCCCGTGCTCCAGCTCTCCTGCACAAGTACCTACGTGAATGAGCTGGTGGTTTTCATCGTGGTGGGCATCAATGTGATTGTGCCCAGTGTCACCATCTTTGTGTCTTATGGTTTCATCCTCTCCAGCATCCTCCGCATCAGCTCGACCGAGGGCAGGTCCAAAGCCTTCAACACCTGCAGTTCCCACATAATTGCTGTTTCCTTGTTCTTTGGATCAGGTGCATTTATGTATCTTAAACCATCTTCTGCTGGGTCTATGGATGAGGGAAAAATATCAACTATCTTTTACACCAATACAGTCCCCATGATGAACCCTTTCATTTACAGCTTGAGAAACAAAGATGTTAAACTTGCTCTGAGAAAAACTCTGAGTAGGAGAAGGTTCTTCTCAGATAGCATCTCTAGTTGATTCCAGGACAGGGAGTTTCTGTTTGTAATTACAATAATTTTATTGGCAGCTTTCTTATCCTATCTCTTTCTTACCATGTTGAAGGAGAGTTAAGTCTTCTCTAAATAATTTATTTTTACTTTTTGTAGAGTAGGTTTCTCTTCACTATTTGCATGCTTTCTTCTCCCCTTTTTCCATTTAGCAATAATGTTAAGGAAGAAATATATTATCTGTTTTTTTCCTTTTGTTTTGAACTTTAATTTTTCTTTCTGGAAATAGAAGACTGGTCAACAAATGATAAAATCAAGAACTATTTGGATGATATACTGTCATTAAGGATATCTCATCTGTCACTTGAAATTGGCAGCATGAAATGGACAGTTTGTCTCTACTTCCATCTTTCCAGCATTAACTCAACAAGGATGTGTCTCCTTTAATAATTTACATGAAAGGTTCCATATCGACTGTCAAATATAAATGATTTTGCATCTATAAACACTGCATCTTGATTGCTTCCACAAAGGGTTTTCTTATCTTTGCAAGCTCAGCCCTACTCATAACAGATTGTCAAAATATTTTTATTGCATGGATTGGAAAGTAAAGCTTGGAGTGGCTAATGTCTTATAGTTCCCTCTTCTGAATGAAAAAGTCTAGACTAAATTTTTAGCCTTTTGACTTCAAGTCTATTACTCTCTGTAGTGTACTTTGTTCTACCTCACTGTATTGCTTTTTGTTTCCATAACCGTGGAAAATAACAAAACATTTCTAATTTGAAAATTGATTGCTCTTTTTTCCAGGATGATACATGAATTTCTCTCAGGGAGGATATTGCTTTGTTTCATTTGTTTAGAAAGGCAGTTTGATAGGATTTTTTTCATCAGGAAAGAGGAGGCTTTGCAGACATGTACAGTTGGGAAATGATTGGCTCAAACAGAATGTTACTTCTGCAAATTTAAATAAAATGAATTTGGTGTTGGGGATTGAGGAGTGCACTTTTGATAAGCACTGAGTATTGTATGGAAGTAATGGATCACTATATTGTGTACTTGAAATGAATATTATGTTGTATGTTAACTAACTAGAATTTAAATAAAAACTTACAAAAATAAAATGAATTTGATACATGTAATTCACAGAGCAGGGCATGGGAGAGAAAGGAGCCCAGACATAAAGAACATTAATTAAGTCAGGGCTCAACAGGACACATAGCCATTAATCAGAGTTCTCTGTGTGGAGAGTGGTCATCAGGACTTAGAAACCACATTTCAGTCCCAATTTTAATACTGCATGATACAGTGCTATAAAAATAAAATCCATAAAACTTTCATAAAATTTATAATTCACAATGACCATACACCAGTAGTACTTGGAGAATGAGGTGAAAATGTATGGTCACATTTGTGGAACCAGGGAGAGAGAGGACATTTTAAAAGATAAAGCAGTGAGTAGCAATTAAAACTATAAATTGGGAAAAAGGAATCCAGAAAGCGAAATGACATATGATAAAATGCCATTCTTCTGATTCTCCTCTCCTTTCTGGAAGGACCTAGCAATATTATAGGGAATGCAGGATTTCTTTGGATAGAATAAAAGCTCGAGTTATTTGATATAAAAGAAAATTAGCTCCCCCCCACCCCTGGACTTGAGGGATGGAAACAACTAAATAATTCCTGGGTTTTGTTGGCTTCTATATGCTACTTCAATGAATTTAAGGTAAAAAACCCTCAAGTTGTCATTAGGAGAGCAGTGATAATTTAAAAGAAACGTTTGGTCAATGAATCAAATTATGACAATGTCTTTTCTGTAATATGATATTGGATTATTTTTCTTTTAAGAAAATAGGCAAAGAATTTTTACTCCAAAACTTTTGATCTTAACCAAGTGACAGTAGCAACAATTTTTTAAAGATAACTTTAATAATATTTTCAATTTTACTTGTTTTCTAATCTCCACTAAGATTTAGACATTGTAAAAGTTGGCAACACTGGTATGTTGTCCTGTTTGTTTGATTTTAGATGTTTAGTATTGCTAACTAATATGTGTTTTACATTACCACTCATACTTCATCTCCTGACTCCAATATTAATATGCTTAATTTTTACTTAAGTTCTATTCATATAAAATGGTTGATCCAAATCGGTGTTTTCTTTTCTTTTTTTCATTTATTTACTGTCCATTTTGATAAAATTGTTCTCCTTATTGATATTGAAGTGTATCTACATAAGTAAATAATATCTCTGCTCTTTGGGGATTTCTGTAGACATTGCAGAGGTGCGTTCACTCTGTTACATATTTTATCAAATTTGAGGTGGCCCCAAGTATATGTTAAACCTGGTCACAATCTTTCATGTAAGAAGTCTCAATATACAAGTGAAATTTGTTTCATTTTTAGAGAAAATAAAGTTTCTTTCAAAATAGTTTCCATTTTTCAGATTATTTTTTAAAAATAACAAAAATTTAAATGAAGCTTGTAAAAGCTATCCTTGGCAAAGTTTTAAAGGACGCAAGTTATCTGTAACTTTTACTTAGTAACTCAGGCTTCATGTATGTATTTGGACTTCTCTCAAAGGAAGGGAATCAAGTTAGGGTGTGTTTACTTGTAAAACACAAGTAATGAATGAATATATATACATTCAGTTTTCTGTGTTGCAATTATACAGCTAAGAATTAAACAGGTAAACTATGGGATTCACCTGTGCCTGTAAACTAAGACAGAGTTGCTTCTAAGTCAGTGTGAACACTGAGTTTCTAGACTTAATGGAACATGGTCTTCCTGGTTAAACAAAGTTTTCTGATTACATCTTAATTTTGTTTAGTAGACACTTTCTCTAAGCATGCTTCTATTGATGCTCAGGACAAATCTGGAATGATCAGGGTGTACTGTAGTAAAGGGCTGATAAAACCCAGAAGCAAAAGAGGCTTTGAGTTCTATATTTCTTTAATTTCTGAACCCTAAATTTATATATTTCCATCACCTGCTTCTCTTTACACTACCTTTCTACACACACACACACGCACACACACACATTCACACTCAGAGTCTTCAAGTCTTGTATTTTATGAGATCACTGTGTAACAACTAAGGCATGGGATGCAACTCACTTTTTAAAAAAGCTTTTATTTAGGGCGCCTTGGTGGCTCAGTTGGTTGAGCATCTGACTCTTGATTTCAGTTCAGATCATGATCCAAGGGTTGTGGGATTGAACCCTACACTGAGCCTCTCTCTCTCTGCTTAAGAGTCTCTCTTGGGGCACCTGGGTGGCTCAGTCAGTTAAGCATCTGACTTCAGCTCAGATCATGAGCTCATGGTTCACAAGTTTGAGCCCCCCGTCGGGCTCTGTGCTAACAGCTCAGAGCCTGGAGCCTGCTTCAGATTTTGTGTCTCCCTCTCTCTCAGCCCTTCTCCTGCTCAGTCTCTCTCTCTCTTCTCTCTCTCTTTCAAAAATAAAAACATAAAAAAAGTTCTCTCTCTGCCCCTCCTCCCCACTTGTGCTCTCTTCCTCTAAAGTAAATAAATAAATAGTTTTTATTTAAATTCCAGTTAGTTAATATACAGTGTAATTAGTTTCAGATGTACACTACAGTGATTCAGTGCTTCTATGCAATAACTGGTGCTTATCATAAGTGCACTTCTTAATCCTTATCATTTATTTAACACATCCCTTCAACTCTCTCCCCTCTGGTGTTGTTGGATTTGGTTTGCTAGTATTTTATTGAAAAATTTTGCATCTGTTTTCATCAGGGATATTGGCTTGTTGTTCTCTTTTTAGTGCTGTCTTCATCTGGTTTTGGTATCAGGGTAATGCTGGCCTCATGGAGTGAATTTGGAAGTTTTCCTTCTTTTTCCATATTTTAGGATAGTATTAACTCCTCTTTAAATGTTTGGTAGAATCTGTCTGAGAAGCCACTTGGTCCTGGACTTTTGTTTTTCAAGAGTGTTTTGATTAGTGATTCAATTTCTTTGGTGGTTATTGGTTTGTTTAAATTTTCAATTTCTACTGTTTCAGTTTTGGTAGTTTTTATGTTTCTAGGAGTTATCCATTTCTTCTAGGTTGTCCAATTTGCTGGCATATAAGTTTTCACAGTATTCTCTTATAATCCTTTGTATTTGTTGGTTATTTCTCCTCTCTTATCTGTGATTTTATTTATTTGAGTCCTTTTTTTCTTGATAAAACTGTCTAGATGTTTATTGATTTTATTGATTTCGTTTTGTTTTTTTAAGATCCAACTCCCAGTTTCATTGATCTATTGTTTTTTTAGTTTCCATACTATTTACTTTTGCTCTAATCTTTATTACTTTTTTCCTTCTGCTAGTTTTAGGCCTTGTTTGTTATTCTTTTTCTATGTCCTTTATGTGTAATGTTAGATTGTTTATTTGAGATTTTTCTTGCTTATTGAGGTAGGCTTATATTGCTTTAAACTTCCTTTTTAGAACCAGTTTTGTTGCATCCAAAGGTTTGGACCATTGTGTTTTCATTTGTTTTCCATCTATTTTCTTAAATTTCTTCTTTTATTTCCTGGTTGATTTCATTGGTTAGTAAGATGTTCTCTATTTTTAGTGTTTGCTTATTTATTTTGAAAGAGAGCAAGAGTGTGCACATACAAACAAGGGAGGGGGAGAGAGGGAGAGAGAGAATCAAAGCAGACTCCATGTTCAGTGCACAGCCCAATGTGGGGCTCAATCTCATGAACTGTGAGATCATGACCTGAGCCACAATGAAGGGTTGGACACTTCACCAACTGATATACTGAGGCCCCCAGAAAGGTGTTCTTTAAATGCCATGTATTTGTGGTCTTTCTAGATTTTTTCTTATAGTGGACTTCTAGTTTCATAGCATTGTGGTTAGAAAAGATGTATAGTATGACTTTGATCTTCTTGAATTTGTTGAGGATTGTTTTGTGAGCTAATATGTGATCTATTCTGAAAAATGTTTTGTGTGCACTTGAATGTGTACTCTGCTGTTTTAGGATAGAATGTTCTAAATATATCTGTTAAGTCTACCTGGTCCAGTGTGACATTC